GTGTGTGTGTGTGTGTGTGTGTGTGTGTGTGTGTGTGTGTAGTTTTCTGCAGGGTGTACACCCCGGATCACTCGTACGTCACCATCCGGAGCCGCCTGTCCTGTCGGGTCGGGGAGATTCTGGCTCTGGTCAGAGAGAAGCTTCAGTACAGTGAAGACCAGCCGGTTCTGCCTGGAAACCTGGTTCTGGTGGCCGTCACCTCGTCTGGAGGTTTGCACACGCACACAGTTACACACACAGACACACACACACACACACACACACACACATGTTTCTGAGCATGTCACGTGTGCCGGCTGTCCTCAGAGAAGGCCGTGTTCCGCCCCAGCGATGAGGCCGTCTTCACCACCCTGGGGGTCAACACCCACCTGTTCGCCTGTGAGCCGTCTGAACTGGACTCTCTGGTGAGCTTCACTGCTTGGTTCCGGTCCAGTTTGAGCCRGTGTGAAACCAGTCTGTTTGGTTTGAAGSTGATGATGTCACTTCCTGTCCCCTCAGCTCCCTCTCCCTGAGGAGATCCACTGGACGCCAGGCGACAGTAAACTTCACGACATGTCGGCGGAAGAAGTGGCCAATCAGCTGGTGGTGTTCGACTGGGAGCTGTTCAGCTGCGTCCACGAGGTCCGTAAGAGTCTCAGAACCTGAGCCCGGGTCCAGACTGGACCCTGAACCGTCCGGTGCCGTGGAAACGCCCACCCTGAGACTTAAACATGTTAAGAACCAGGAAGTCCGGCTCAGAGCTGCCCCGTGTGTGTGTGTGACCCGCAGGTGGAGTTCGTGTGTTACGTGTTCCACGGCGAGCAGGCCCGCTGGCGCCCCCTGAACCTGGAGCTGGTTCTGCAGCGCTGCAGCGAGGTCCAGCACTGGGTCGCCACCGAGATCCTGCAGTGCCAGTCCCTGCCCAAGAGGGTCCAGCTGCTCCGCAAGTTCATCAAGATCGCAGCGCTGTGAGTCCCACCTGGGTTCTGTAGAACCAACAGAACCCAGTCTGACAGAACCAACAGAACCCAGTCTAGTACCAAACATCTGGTACCAAACATCTGGTACCAAACAGTCAGTGGAAGTGGGCGGAGTCTGTATTTAACTGTTTTAAATCAGAGGGTGATTGGTTCTGATGAAACACCAGAACCTAAAGGTTCTGTCTGTGTGGAACAGGTCTCTGGTTCTGATCCGTTTCAGCTGCACAGAGAAAACAGCGCTGCTGTATGGCCCCGTTTCAAAACAAACTGTTGACTGATCCGTTCTCCTCTCTGGGTTCTGGTTGGTTCTGGTTGGTTCTGGTTGGTTCTGGTTGGTTCTGGCAGCTCAGTTCATAATAAAAAAACTTCCCACCTGTAAACAGAAGGTTCTGGTTCTCCAGCTGTCAGTAAAATATCTACTGAAGGTTTGAAACCTGGGTTTTACCAGAACCGGTGCCGGTCTGAGAACCCAAACCTGCGGTCCCTGAATGTCTGACCCGGTTGTGTTTCAGGTGCAAACAGCAGCAGGACCTGCTGTCCTTCCTGGCTGTGGTTCTGGGTCTGGACAACCCCGCTGTCAGCAGACTGAGACTCACCTGGGAGGTACGACCCGACCCGACAGGTCCAAAACCACATTCAGAACCATCAACTGGGTTCTAACAAATATTTGAGACCAGATCCGGTTTATCCGGGTCTTTACTGCCAGAAGCTGAGTTCTGTTGTTCGGGCACTTCCTGTCCAGGTTCTGATCATGAACCYGGTTCTGGTTCTTTCAGGGTCTGCCAGGAAAGTTCAGGAAGCAGTTCCAGCAGTTTGAGAGCATCGCAGTGAGTACAGCTTCTCAGCCCGCCTCCAGCAGAACTGTTCTGGGTCACAAAGACCCGGCTCATCTCTGGTCCGTTTGTCCTGCAGGACCCGTCCAGGAACCACAAGTCCTACAGAGACCTGATCACCAGCCTGAGGACTCCCCTGATCCCGTTCACACCGCTGCTGCTCAAAGGTGACCCAGAAACCCAGATCCAGTCCTAGATTCTTTGGAGATTCTGTTTGTTCTGCTGCTGAGAAGGAACCTCAGACTGGACTCTGATGGACCAGGTTCTGATGGACCAGGTTCTGATGGACCAGGTTCTGATAGACCAGGTTCTGATGGATCAGATTGTAATGAACTGAACTTCATCAGCCCAGACTCTGAGAGAAAAGATCTAAACTGATTAAAATGAATCTAATCTGTTAAAATACCTGGTCCTGTTCTGAGGACTGGACTAGTCCTGGTCTGAGGACTGGACTAGTCCTGGTCTGAGGACTGGACTAGTCTTGGTCTGAGGACTGGACTAGTATCAGTCTGAGGACTAGACTAGTCTTGGTCTGAGGACTGGACCAGTCCCTGCCTGCAGACTGGACTGGGTCCTGGTCTGAGGACTGGACCAGTCCCTGCCTGCAGACTGGACTGAGTCCTGGTCTGAGGACTCGGTCCTGAACCCTGAAGTCCAGTCTCAGGACTAACGGTCTGACAGGAAGTGAATCTCAGATGAAACATGTTCACATGTGAACTGATGAAACAGGTTTGGCGCCACCTGGTGGTGAAAACACGAAACATGTTCGAGACAAAAATCTCTTGAAAGAAACCCGTAAACCTTCAGGCTGACTTCAGTTTTCAGAACCTAGACCTCCGCCTGCGACCCGTGTCACAGGAAGTTCTGACCCCGCCCCCTCCATCAGAACGGTTCTGCTGTCAGGACGACGTTCTAACCGTCTGATTTCTGTGGTTTGCAGACCTGACGTTTCTGCACGAGAGCTGCAAGACGTTTCACGGAGAACTGGTCAACTTTGAGAAGATGGTGAGTTCATGTTTCTGTTTTCCACTGAGTCCGAACCACAGTTGTAAAGTAACTAAGTACAAATACTTTGTTATTATACTTAAGTAGAAATTTTGGTTATCTGTACTTTAC